TTGTACCAAGATGTCCTCAACTATCTGATCTTTCCCTACTCTCCACTTCCTGCTTTAGCCCCGTCTTCCCCTGGTGTCGACCCAATCCCCTTGCAGCGAACAGGAAGCCAGAGTGCCGCGGGAACCTTTCAGAGAGGCAGCTTTGCCGCAGGAGGCGGGGCTGCTGACTATGGAAACCCGTACCGCACTCTGCAGTTCTGCCCATCCACCGAATCGCCTTACAGCAAGTCGGGCCCAGCACTCGCCCCTGAGGCCACCCTTGGCCGGTCTCCATCGGTGGACAGCATCCAGAAGGACCCAAGGTGAGAACAAAAAGACAAAATGTCCAATCAGCTCTGACTTGATGATGAAGCCTGTTTGTTCCGCTCCCTTTCCACTTTCACTGAACTTACTGAGGGCCAGATTCACCGGTTTAAACATAATTATATACACATTAAGCATTATAATTGAAGAGTGTCAAAGTTTCAATTTGTAGCATGGTGACTGCAGTTTGTAACACTTCAACAGATAATTGACTGTCTGAATTTGACGGTCCATTCCGGTAAAAGGCTGGTTGAATCTGGGCTTTAGTATAAGGCACACATCACGCCACATCTTTCACTGTCCTCTCTAGTTTACCTGGTGTCGGGGTTTGTTCACACTGCCGTACAAATTCCTACGCACACCTTTTGGTCCAATTTAAAAGTTTGGAGTGTCTCAGTGCAATCAGTAACGTTCTGTGTATTAGGCAGACACCGTTAATGCGGGAAGTGCATGGAGTCTGCTTTGAGACCAAGAGAACGAAAGTGGGTGTTTGAGAATGAGGGAAAGAAAGAAAGAGAGACAGTGACAGATAGACGAAAAAAGAGCAACAGAGAGACGTATACAGAGCCACTTTAGTAGATTTTGTATCATTCTTTTGTCCTAGTTATAATCAAGTTTGATATACTATTCCAATTGTGTCATGGATTTTTCTTTCTTAGTCTTTTTTTTCTGTCCTATGACTGCACAGACATGCTGTCACAGATATAAGCAGCCTAATTAAAGTTGGAGTGTCTCTCTTTGTGATATTTCAGCTCAGGTGTAAGCAGACCATTTTATTTCTTTCTAAAATGTCATATTTCAAATGACGAAGTAACTTTGTGCTGAACGGCTTATTATATGGTCACATTTGGAAGCATAAAGAAATGTTTCTGTGTCATTAGGATAGGTGACTTTGTTGTAGTTGCCATGGCTCTTTCCTTCACCCATTGTCCAAGTGTTTATTTCTCTGTGCACATTGCACCCACATTGTCTGTTTGTTCAATCTTGAGCTTCAGCATCATTGTTGTGTAGCTTCCAGCATCAACACATCTGCACTGCTACATTCAAAGGACTGATTTCTGATGCATGCCATTGTGCTTTACCTTCATAACATGCAGTGCTTCCACTGTAGGAATGAAAACATGCTATTTGTCCACATTATGTTGAAGGGAGGGTCCCTCAAGATTAAAACATATATATATATATTAACTTATATATGAACATTGGGTTTCTGCAGTAGTCAAATGTAACAGTTTCAAGAGACCAAAACTAACGATGTTATGTGAGTCCATCTTTCAATATTCTGGCTTCCCTATGTCTGTATCAGACCCTATACCATGTATTCCTATGGAATGTATAATTCAATCATAGCAGTTTTTTGGGGATTTTAAGTTGCAAGTTATTGCCCACTTGGTGCTCTATTCCAGTCCATCTCAAATGGGCGTACTTATACCCCTTTTTCCCTATCAATATTGTTTTGCGATTGTCCTTGGTGGAAACAATAGTTTATCATGGCTATATGATTCAAAAAAGTTCAACAAAAAAAATTGCTCTACTTAAAGCAGGAGGGCATTCTACTTCCAGGCCCTCGCTCGGAGCACACCCATGTTCGAACTGGGCTTTAATTTGTCTCTCAACTACACACTTGTAAAGTTTTTTTGACACTAAGTTAGTGCAGTGGCATTAAGTGCCAGCCAATGTTCCCTTCATCCACCATGCTTGGACTACGCCCATTTCAAACTCAAACCATGATAGGGTCCCGGAGACAAATTCTGTCCACAGACAGACAGAGAGAGAAATATAAACACCTGGCAAACTACTCAAAATCTCCTCTGCACTGTTGTGGTAACAAGCTATATCAGTTTGGATTATAAAATAAATACTTGTCAATTAAATCAATTGTTGGTTTTGGTCTTATTATAGGATTCGTGACAAAAAGAAAAAAGACTACAACCAACCACTAAACAAACAGATATTTACCAATTGGTCAATGTAGTTCTTAACACTAACACCATATTAGATTATGACTGCATGCCTTAGGCATGATCTATGTGTAATTTACGAGTGTGTGATATATCAAAAACAAAAGCAGATTAAGAAAACTGAACTTTTACTGACAATTAACAAATTACCTGAATATGAAATTAGTGATAATTTTTTTTTAAATACAAACATGTTCATGTAACCAACCATTTCATAGATAATTTGCAAAATATAGCAAATGTAGATATGTTGTATCCTGTCTAAAATTACCCTACAGGCGTAACAGCTTAGCTTGTCATTTACTCACCATTTAGCTTAGTCGTTCAGCCGTGCTTTTCTGAGATAAAGCTAGTCATTTTCAACGACACAAACATTTTTTTATAAAATACACTTTAAGGATTTTGTCATCGATAGTCACCAGCACGGTTGACAAACATGCCAATCTCATAATAACGTGATGTATTGCTCAAAACAGGATGACATGGATGAGCGAATAGCATTAATAGCACTGAAGGTATTTTGATAATTGGCTCTAAAATGGTCTGTTTGTATCCTAGGACCCTCTCTTTAACTAACATACCCACCATCTCCTCACCACCCGCTCTAAATGCATGCACCTCACCAGCCCACCTCCTCCACCATTGCCTGATAACCAAATGTTGAGAGAGAAAGATAGTGTAGTGGCTACATATTGATTTATATTTACTGAATAATTTCTTGCCAGACAGCCAACATATACCTCTCTTGTTTCTCTCTGCCTGTCCCCCCTCGATAGGTACGACCCAGAATTCCTTGTGTGGAATCAAAATCAAGCCGAGCAAAGAATGACAAAGTAATCCAACTATTTATTTATACACATATATTCTGTCTATCTATCTAACCTGTCTCATTCACTGAATCTTTCCATCTTCTCTATATGACACCAATGTCAGATGTTAATGACCTCATGACAGTTCCCATATGTATCGTCACCCATTTTACATGGCGTTCTAAATTGGATTACTGGCAGTAAAATAAAAATAAAACTACATCAATATACATAACATTAAATTACATGCTTTAACTGAAAACACTAAGAGAAAAGTTGCATTCTTTAAAAAATAAAATCAGTCTTAAGTAACAAAGTAAATAATGACTTATTTTCCATTTAAAGAAATATCGTTTCTGTTTATTTTTTGTATAAACATTCCTCATTCTCTCCTTTGGCTATCCACCCATCCCTCCATCAATTTTTTCTATCTGTTGATTTTCTGGTCATTCATTTGTCTCCATTGTCTGTCTGTCCTGGTGATATCTGAAGGTGCTTTGTGAAGTTAGTCGTGGAGCTTGCCCAGGGTAAATGTTGGCACGGTGTGTTAAGTATTTGGTATAGATGTTCTTATTTGTCTCGAAAAAGTACATGTATATTTTCGTAGTTTGTCCTTGTTGTTTTGTTGCTATTTCCTGTCTGATTTTAGTGGTAGAGAAATGTATCATGTCATATATGGACATTTTTGGATATCATTAAATCAAAAACATATACTTGTTTATGCAAATATCACGTTATCTTGTACAATGTGTACTTTCCTTTTTCGGTGTGAAAAGTGGAGGAAACAAACAACTGTGTAAGCGAGGAGAAGGAATTACCACAGCACACACACACACACACTTCTGGCTTTTTCCACACAAAGACAACATAGCATTTGCTACAGCACAGAGAAAATGCTACTGTTTAAAAATTGGACAAACATTGAATGAATACATTCTGAGCAAATAAAAACTGTAGACATGTGTGATCCTGAATGGGCGGATGGGTGGGTCTTTTCAAAGAAAGGTTGAATCATTTTTTTTAATCAAATATAATTTTTGCTTAAATTGCCCAGCATAACCATCCTGTATTTCACTCGTACATCCAAGTATGTCAAGGTTTTTTGCATCTTTTTTTTCAATTATCTCTATGCTTTTCTAATCCAGCACAAGGTGACTTAACCCTGAACTGTCTCAAATGGATTAAAATTTAATGGATGGACACAATGTAGAGATAAATCAGCATGGGCACATAGATGAAAGTTGTGTGGTCATTTTTACTGTCTGCAGCTGGCCCCCTAATGATCCCTTTATCCTGAAAAAGATAACGTAATGTAGTAAAAAAAACATAATATAGCTTCGATTTGTCAAGCCACATAATCTGGCAAATCAAGGTGCGTTACTGTGGACACAGGCACTTATGCACTCCAACGCATTTCCTCCTTCAGGCTGCCAATAATTTTTGGAAATGTTCCTCGCTAGCACAAACTAGGATTTGTGCTAGACTGGATCTGACACGATCATAAAATACCTCATTTTATTTCATGCTCATAAGCACAGCAAGAATCTCTGATCCATACTCAGTCACAGGGTTGAGATGGACTCCGTGTGCTGTGCTTCTCAGCTCTGCCTGACATCTCCCGACCTTTCGTTCATCACACACACACACACACACACGCACACACACACACACACTTTTCCTTTGCCTCAGTCTACCTTTCTCATTCCATTCTCTACTTTCACACTATGACTTATGAACAGATTAAAAGGTTTTTCAATGCAGCTGCCAAGCCATGAATACACATTGTAGCTATAGGGTAAAATGTTGTAAAAAAACTCTTGCTATGTGTAGCAAATCTATTAGCTGTAATTAAATGAGTGATATTCAGAAGAACTAGGAACGACTATGGAGCTCAATGTGTGTGAAAAATACAAACTGAAACCAGGTATGCGTTACAAAATAGTTGTATTCAAGATATCAACAAGTTCATTCAAATTCACATGATTATTTTCAGGTGCCCAGTAAAGGCAAAAGACAACAAAAGAAAAGCTTCCGGGGTAAAGTTCATTAATTTCCGTTTAATCCTACTTCACCATGTGGCAGGGAGGGTAGGTTTAGAATCTTAGCTCGCCATCAAGGTCCATGAAAGGTCATCAGGTGCGGCAAGCACCTGGCAAAAAAATATATCCAAACAAAAAAACCTGACCTGTAAAAGGTCACAAGGAATAATTAGTATCTTCCCCTTTAAGCATTTAAATAAAAATACATCTCTTAAATAAAATAAATACATCTCTTGTATAATAAATCTCTTAAATAAAATAAATACATCACTGGTTTAATAAATCTCTTAAATAAAATAAATACATTTCTGGTTGTACAACATTTCTATATCCATTTCTATACAAAACATTAATCTGTTTAAATTCAGCCAGTAAACAGCAAAGCAATACTTCAGGGCTGATAGCCAAAATCCCACAAGGTTACACTTAAAGTAATTGGGATCAGTGAAGACCCATGCATAAAATATTTCTACTAGCAATACTATTAGCATGCTAACCGCTAGCTTAGCAGCTAACGGGAGCTATCTCAATGTAGATTTCCTATTGAAAATGCTAACCGCTAGCCGCTAAGCTAGCGGGCACATTCCGGGCATTTTTCAATAACATTACACATTTTAAATACATTCTACCAATACAAGACTCACCGCTGATTGCAGCAATTGTTAACAAAAACGTTAATCTGTTTAGGAATCGTGGAGGAATCCCTGTGTGTAGCATGTAGCATCAACGTAGCAACCAGCATCACAAACGACCAGCCAAGGAAACGGAAGTGACCTGGCTGCCATTTATACTGAGCTACGGGAGCCTGCTAGGATTGAAGGTTTTTAACCTGGGTTACACTTGCATGTGTGCCGACCTTTGTTCTGTTAGATTCAGTTGAGGCAGTGTTTAGTATTTCAAGTCTACAAAAGGAACAAAGCTAAGAGTCGCTCTGAAAATGCAGTGTAAATATTAGGGATGTAACGATATACCGAATATCGTGGTATCGCGGTAAATAAACGTCCCAATACCATCGTGACACTGACGAAATCTACCGCGATTAAAAAAATTAAAAAAAACCACTTTTTTTTGTTTTAAACCTTTATTTAACCAGGTGGTCCCATTGAGATCATCGATCTCTTTTTCAAGAGAGACCTGTCCAACATGGCAGCAAGTTAAAACATGAACATAAAACAACAGAACACAAAAGGACATCGTATTTACAGGGCTACATTTACACACCTAGAGACATTGACAAGTACCAACAGTATATTTATATCTCGCCCTGTCAATAAGCCTCACCTTCTTGGCAAAAACTATATTGTTTTTGAAGTGGTGGAGAGACAATGCACAGTTTGACCCACTGCTGTCACCCATGGCCAAAGCATATATCTCCGTCCCACTGAGGTGGCGTTAGACTTTTTCGCTGTCCGTCATTTTGACAGACAGGATCGTAAAATGTCCGTCATAATCCCTTATTACCTTATTACCAAGCCCCCAGGAAGTGCGCCGGAGTCTGATGAGAATATTCGTGCTGGTCAAACGGCGGTAGGCTACTACACTTCCTTTTGGTTGCTGGGACCGGAAACACTTTTTCCCATTGACTTACATTGGGAAAGAGTGGTCTGTAACTTGTTGGATAATTTTTTTTAAACTAAATAAACTACCCAGTATGAACGTTTGTATAGCCCTTATTAAAAACATTCGTTCCTCAAGTTGTAAAAATGTGATAATAACGTTATTCTGAGAGGTATTTCCCTCGGCATTATGAACGCGCATCTAACCCACGGGACCACGCCGCCCTGCACGTTCATGTTACGTGTTCAGCACTACATGAGTTTCTCTTTATCCATGGATGCACAATAACAACGGACCATATCGCCGTACTGCCATCCCACGGAGCTGTAATAATGGATATATTGCACATGTTTGCTGTAATTCATCATTTGTAAAATATTATACTACATGGGCTGTATGATGTAAATCTTGTACCGTAAATGTTGTATTAAATAAAGTTAATATTACCGACGTAGATTAACGTTCCTGTAGCTTCTTATTGCACTTGCAATTGTTTTAGTTACTTATGGGCTACTTAACATGAATAATCACAGTTACTATCCTTTTACTCCATCACATTTCAAAAAGAAATAGGCTATTGTTATTTTAACTCAACCACAGTAATCCATCATCAGCTTTACTTTTTAGATAAAGTTTTAACTCACAATTGATCATAACAGGCTTCAACATATACATTTGTATATATTACCAAGTGGTTTCATGTACAACCCACACAAGTATCATGCTAAATGAAGCTCTGTTGCTTGGATATCACTAGATCCTGATGTCAGCGTAATATAAAAGTACATAACGATTGATGTGTAACTTAGCATAATTTACTAGCTAGCCGCTAGCTGCTAACTGCCGCCTCGTTAATATAAATCCAGTACCATGCTGTCATGAACGCGCGGTGCTGGTACGTGTACGCAAATGCACGTGCTTAATGTGAACGAGCCTTTTGGGCGGCGTGGTTAAAGTTGCGCATGCTCTATGAGTGCACATACGGGTACTTCTCAGGCATGCCGGGTAATCTGTGACGTTTCGCTCTCTCAAAAATTGGGCCATTTTGTCGTCATGCGCCATTGAGCAACTCTCATAAGAATGAATGAGGCCCCGCCTCCCACGCTGTATCCAGTTCTTATTATACATCCATGCTTATTACCCGTCGGGTCTGAACAATTCACGAGAGAGCACGCTCGTGAACTGTCAACGGGGGGGGGGGGTGTTATGCCGTATGTGCATGCACCTCGCGAGAGCGCGCACAGCGTAAAGCAAATCCTCCCAGACATGTATTGATCTGTACGGCAAAGTACGGTTTGGAAACTATATAATTTCCTTTAGGAGGGCATGCATAACACGGCATAACACCAGAGCCTCGCTGCGGGGAAACGTTGGCGCTGTTCCGAGTTTGTTCTAATCTGTCAAAATGACAGACTGCTTTCAGATTTTTCCGTCATTGTTAAATAAAATATTCGGTTAACGCGACCACTGCTGACCCAGCAACATCAGTACCAAGCGATAGAGTTTTTTCCAGAGCAGGGGATATTGTAAATGCCCAAACATCCCAGCTTATTTCAACCTGGAAATGTGGACATTCTCATATTCCTAAAAAACCTGTCTGATGATGCTGAGTGAGTGACTAGTGACTTTGAGTTGAGTTACTTGAAAAATGTGAAAAAGTGAAACTTGATTTATTTTATTGCAGGGTCTGATTATTAAATGTCCTTCTTTATTTGTGAGATGCAGTGGCACAAAGAAAATGCCTACTTTGTTTGGTAGTACTAGGTACAAAAACACTGGTTTTCTTCTTCCAGTCTGTTACTGTCACTTTGTTTTTGACACTTTAAAATACTGCTATCCTACTAAAATGCTGTACAAATCAGATGTATTATTTAATAAAGAAAAAAAAAAAGTTTATTGAAAAAAAAAATTAAATTTGTTTCCCTTTATTATTCAATAGCGCGATAAATACTGTACCGTGGACTTGTTATCGCGATATTATCGTACCGTGAGTTTTTGGTATCGTTACATCCCTAGTAAATATTGAATATATAATATCGGAATATGATGGAAAAACTACATGTGCCAACTAATAATGTTCAACAGTTCTCCCTTGAGATCATTTCTAAACTGTCGATAAAGCAAAACTCTAACCCACATTTTTGAACATGCTTGATATAGAATAATACATTATTGCAACTTAAAAATGGCAAAAACCCTATTGAGATTAAGTATTTGCATCTTTTAATAAAAAAAAATAAAAAAATCATAATTAATAGTAAGGGCTTTATTATGCTTTTTTGGGTTTTCCTTTTTCTACTGTGTGTTATAGGTGTTATTTTACATAAATGGTCAGAGGCTAAAATCCCATAAGGCGCGTTCACACCGGAGTACTTTTCCCGTTTTGTTCCGTTAGTACCTCTTATTTTGCGTTCAAACCAAAAAGAGTACTTAGTGCCGGGAACTTTTACCCCCATTTTTAGTGCCTGCTAGAGAGGTGGTACTATCCTGGGGGGAAAAAAGTACCAATTTCTATTGGCTGGGCGAATTGCAAACCACGCCCCGTAAAACTCTGAAAAGTTTTGTGAAGCCGCCATTGTATTTGCTGACATTTGCATTATTAGCATTAGCATTAACCCCGCGCACCAACGGAGAGAGAATAACTTATGGCAACACAAAAAAAAACATGGGAGCGGTGGAGATGAGGAGGTGTCGGCGATGCCAGTCCCCAACTCCGGGGACTTCCGGTCGGGGACTTCGGGTGGCAATATACGCCGTGAAGTGGTTTGCGGCCTGCCAGTAAACCCAAAGCAGAAGAAGAAGTGACGTCAGCGGCTTCATTTGCGTAATCCAGTGGCGAACACACAGACACACACACACACCCCGCCGCCCCCCCCCCCCCCCCCCCCCCCCCACCCCCCCTCCGCGGCATTATAATGTCCGTCTTTTCACTGAATTGTCGTCTTGAAACGGGTACTCACAACAATTCCGCAACAACTTCATCTTCTCCTGTTGCACTTATCATTTCAACGTTAAAAACAATAAAACTGCTTGAATTGCTTCGTCTCACTCATCTAGATCCTCTGTCTCGAGCCAGTTAACTAGCGGGCCTTCTAGAGTACCCTGGAACCGAGGGGAACTCTGAAAGAATACGCCCATTGGCTACAAATCAATATATGATTGGTTGATCAAACTGTCAGTCCAAACGTACTCTCATTCAGTGCAACGGCCAGGGCATTCTATCAAGGCTGTAGAATACCTTGGTTCAAGGATATTCTACGCAGAGACCCAGAACAAGATCTGATTGGTTGCTTTCTTTTCTAACACAAAACCACTGAAATACGTAGTGCATGGTCCGAGAAGGACAAACAAATCAACGTAACACTGTAATATTACAGATCAACAACACAGATACAAATCTCATTTATTCATTTTATAGACATTTTATTTATATAATTAAATCGATTTTTTGTTTGTTTTATCTGAGTGTTCCAGGGTATTCTCTGAATACCTTGAAGGCCCTGACGGTTCGCCACTGGCGTAATCTTCCCTCAGGGAACTTATTCCAGTGTGAACGTGAACTGTACTTAGTGCAATGGGGGTACTAAGTGCCGGGCACTAAGTACTTGGTGCGAAAGCGGCTATAGTCTCTCCCACACACTCCCCCCCCCTGCCTGAAACGCCTCCATTGGACTCCTTTGTTTACTTACGTAAAATAGTGACGTCACTATGCCAGCTAACCAATCAGAGCAGACTGGGCTCTGGTTTCAGACAGAGGGTGAAAAGAGGTGCTGCAGCAGTATAAGAAAAATAAAGCATGTAAACAGTAGATGCAAAAAAATGAACCTAAAACGAACATATTATGTCCTCTTTAATTTGGCTATCACCATACAATACATAGCTATATCACAGTAGAGCAGGGGTGCCTAACCAGTTGATCCCCAGGCGATCGCGAGATGTGTCTAAAAATAGAACAACAATATTCGGTTTTATCGTTAATGTCCTATAACATAATCTTCCTGTGCCAGAATAATGCACTTGAACGCATCAAAGCTTTGTGATTGGCCGGCGTGACCCCATGTGTCGGGGTGTGGCTGGTGGGCAGTGGGCTAGTTTGCTGACGTTGTCCGTGTCAACAGGAGTGACAGTCCGCACACACACAAGACCGCAATTATGGCAGAAGCAAAAAAGCCAAAAATATATAATTTTCACTCCGAGTGGGAGGAGGATGATTATTTTTTTATCTATTCCAATTCAAAGTCCATCTGTCTCATCTGCAATGCGAGCGTGGCTTTATCGAAGAAAGGTAATTTAGGAGCGGCATTTCAAAAACAGTGCACAAACGCTACGAGACGGAATTCCCTCCTAATTCTGCCCTACGCTCCCAAAAGGGAGGGACCTGA